GATTGGCTTCCGAACCTTTCCTCCAACTCCTCCTCCACCGTACGGTGTCGACGACGCCCTTACCTCCGCCCTCTCCATGTTAAATCTGACACAGGGGCTCTGCCTTGAGTGGTGGCTGCTCGCAGTATAACACCGCGCGTCGACTGTTTTTCGCTTCTTTTTCTCTTCGAAAATATGCCGACTCGACTTTGTGGCGACGACTGAGCCCATAGCCGCAATGTTGACCTTCCATTTTATTTCTTCTTGGAACGACATGTCGTAAATATGCTAGCAAATAATTGTATGTCGTTCACCCTACCCACCACTCCAAATCTCACTGATATAAATTCATATAAATTTGTTATTTTTTTCACCAATATTTCAAAAGTTAACTCACATTTTTTAAAACTAAAAAAAATTGGAAAAAATTTTAACTTCTCCTTAAAAAATTATAATTGAAAAATGGAGAGAAAACTTTGTCGGGTTGCATAAACACGAGCTAACTTAATTAGCGTGAGATAGACGATTACTTGTGTGCTAGGATTATTTGTTGAGGTCAAAGAAAAATCTATGTTTGATAGTCAATGATTAGTCAAATTGAGCATTATCGTTTAGAAGATTTACACTACATAGCTTAATTACTACGTTCCTATAGTCTCGTGCAATAAATCATTGACTTTGATTGAAAATAAGAAGAAGCAAATGGTCTAAATAAAATCGAGCCAACTAATTTATAAGCAATTAAAAGGCATCAATGCTCAATGCTCTTCTCTCGTAATCGGTAATTGAAGTAGTGATGTGAAATTGTACTCTCACGAACAGATCTTATGTTAAAAAGATCATGTCAAGATCTCATTCGTGTGGAAGAACATCACTATTGATAGTGAGTTTGATATATAATGTGACATTTTCAAACCGAGTTAAAATCAACTAGCACTACTTTAATAAGATTTCCTCTCTTTTTCCTAAATTTGGAAAAGCTTAGCAGTGTTGCAAAATAAGACAAGAAAAGAGGAGCTCCACAAATTACACCAAGATTCTCACAATCATTGGTACGGAGACGAAAAAACGAAATGCATGCATCGAAAGACGCGGTAAAGTATCATTTTGTAACAGCTCAAACCCACCGTTAGTAGATATTGTTTATTTTGGCTCGTTACGTATTGTAGTCATATTCCACGAAAGATGTGAGTTATGAGATCTCATATCGATAGGAGAGGGGAATAAAACATTTCTTAAAAGAATATGAAAACCTCTTCCTAACCGACGTATTTTAAAACCATGAAACTGACGACGATACATAACGGACCATAGCAAACAAAATATGTATCACTTTAACTGTAGGAAGAAGATTAATATAAAGAGAGAGAGAGAGAATATTAATAAGAGTACAATATATGCGCAATTTTGAGGAACAAGGAATCGCATTTGCTGTCAAAAATATTGGGTTTGCACATCTATGGAAAAAGACTACAAAAACAAAAGGGTTATGTTAATAGCTTCTAAAGGAGTGGTTTTGGAGTGGCGTGGATTGCTTTTCAGACTTTCAAACTATGGGTACCTTTTTTTTCTGCCTTCAATTCCTTTTATATATTCTACTCAGATTTGATGTACACCAAACAATAATAATGCATCACCATCTCTTACGCTTTCATTTTGAAAAAATTGACTACATATGTCTTGTAACTAAACTAGGTACAAAGATTCTAATTTTCTTCCACTTTTATTCCTTCATTGCCGTCTTGTAGTTTTCAATCTCCATATTAGCTTATGGAACTCATATAATCAAATATGAATACAAACTAGTTAAATGAGTTGTTAAATGATATCCAACTTGTGTAATGTACAATCGAATTCACTTGTTTCGTTCATTTAGTCTACAATTCATTGTATGTAATGAGAATTAATGTAACAAATGGTCACCTTTGATCCATTATGTATAGAAATGTTTCGCTCCCCTCTCTAACCGCCCCTGTTGAGAGACCATATCCTCGTTGGCACACCGCCCAGTATCCAACTATAATACTATTTGTAATAGCTCAAGCTCACTGCAAGCCGATATTGTCTGCTTTGGCCTGTTACATATCGCCGTCAGTCTCACGATCTATTAGGAAAAAAATTTCATACCCTTATAAGAAATGTTTCGTTGAGATCTCACAATTAAGTAGTATCATACGCTGAGGAATTTTCTGGTGAGTAATATATATTTAAAGTAATATATACAATTCCCTATACAAATGCAAACAACTCACCTCCATGAATAAAGTCTTGTTCAGATTAATCAAGGTAAAAAAAAAAGAGAGGAATATAAAAACCAAGTGAAGATAGTACGAAATGACAGGAAGAAGAAGAAAAAGAAAAGGATGGATGGGGGCAATTAACCCTCTCCAATATGAAAATTCCCTGACTGGGAAAAAGAAGAATCAAGTTCCCCATGCGGATGGCTTATCATCTGTATGTGTCATCTTGGCCACGCTGATAGGACCCTCCGGTTCATGTCAGCTCTGTTTACTCTAACCAGTTTTAGCTCTGCGTGTAGGCTGCAAAAGCTCATAGAATGATTACTTAATGAACCCTTAAAACTTTAAAGCTTAAACCCAGAAATTATGGAATGGAATTGAAGTTTAGAGATGGGGTTGATGAGGAATGCAGCCCCCCCATGTGTAGCAGTAGCAGTAGAATAAAGGAGCAGCAAGCCTAATAATATTGCCCATCCATGGAGCACAAGTTTTTTGGTTACTTTCGTGAGTCATATGGTTCCAAGTTGAACCCATCAATCACATCTGCGATCCAAACAAACTGAGCTGTCAATTATTTCAATAAAAGGCTTTCAAAGCCTAAAACAGAGCCATCCCTCTCCATGGTGACTGAGGGAAGCTGTTTTTAATGGTTAACAACATTGAAAAAGATCAAACATGTCTATAAATTACAGCCACCAATCTTGAAGTGGCACTGCTGCTGGCTGGCTTATTACCTTAAGCTTTGAATAATTTCAACTCTTTCTCAAAGGGATATGCCCATCTCATCAACACATCATTTCTGGATGCCAAGCTACTGTTTTGACAATGCATAAATTCCCAACACCAGAACTCAGAAGAACGCTTGAACATGAAAATGGAAGCTGAAAAGGCTATTATTACGAGAGATCAACTAGAACCAAGAGATACTTTCAAAATTGCCTACCTAATCCATTTCTTGCTTGGTGTTGGTAATTTGCTCCCATGGAATGCTTCCATCACTGCTGTTGATTACTTTGGCTACCTCTATCCCACCAAACATGTCGAAAAGGTTTTCTCCGTGGCTTACATGACTTCCTCTGTGCTCCTTCTGGTTCTTATGGTTGCTTGGGATGGATGGTCTAAGAAGATGAGCTTTAGATTTAGAATGAACTTGGGGTTTTCTTTGTTCATCCTGTCTGTTCTGGTCTCTCCTGTCATGGACTGGGCTTCAAACATCACTGGTTCGAACTGGCGGCCAAACGAAGCTTATGGCGTGATCGTTGCATCCGTTGTCACCTGCGGTTTGGCTGATGGCTTGGTAGCAGGAAGTTTGATAGGATCAGCTGGTAGGCTTCCAAAACAATTTATGCAGGCTGTGTTTGCCGGGACTGCTTCTTCAGGTACTATATATGTCCAAACCTTCTCCTCTTACCTTTCAAATTTTATCACGAAAACTTTGACACAAATATAAAGTGCCAGACATGATCTAGCATCCTAGAAAGCATGTGCCTTCAGATGGCCGAAAGGGCAATAAAAGTACTTTCTCCATTCAACTGCATGAAAAAGTATGTCAATATTTTAATGATCTCTATTGATGTGGCAACTGGGTATTGGTGTGTAGTATTAAATTGAAAATAACAGATGATTTCCTGCTTTGTTATACTAAACAAGCTAAAGAAGATCATTACAAATTACCTGATTGAGAAAATTGATGGTGGCAGGTGTTCTTGTTTCAATCTTGAGGATTATTACAAAGGCCTCACTAACACAATCGCCAAAGGGTCTTCAAAAGAGTGCGCATTTGTACTTCATCGTCGGTGCGTCCATTCTCTTCTGCTGCATTGTGTCGTGTAACTTGTTGTGCAAGCTGCCAGTGATGCAGCATTACTACAGAGTTCTTCTTGATGAACCTCCATGTTCAAAGTCAAAGTTCTGGACAGTGGTGGGTAAAATCAGATGGCCTGCATTTGGAATTTTCATAACTTATGTCGTTACACTATCGATTTTTCCCGGATTCATAGCAGAGGACCTTGAATCCAAACTGCTTCAAGATTGGTATCCTATTCTACTGATTACAGTATACAATGTTGCAGATTTAGTCGGAAAATCTCTAACTGCAATATATATTTTGAAGAACATCAAGACAGCAACATGGTTCTGCATCACCAGGCTTCTGTTTTATCCACTGTTCATGGCCTGCATCCATGGTCCAAGGTGGCTGAAAACTGAATTACCAGTGATAGTTCTGACTTTTTTACTCGGCTTGAGCAACGGATATCTAACAAGTGTCATCATGATCAATACTCCCAAGTTATTACCTGCATCAGAGGCAGAGTTATCTGCCATTGTAATGGTTGTGTTCCTGGGAATTGGATTGGTCGGTGGCTCAGTTTTAGGCTGGTTTTGGATCCTTTGAAGTTGAACCAAACTCCAAATTATTTAGTACCCTGCCAACGGCAATTCGCCAAATTGGTACTACAACCTAATAAAATGTTGTCTCCTCCAAATTGTCTGGATTGGGGAACCTTTGGCCAACCTTTACAGGATATAAACTGCTCAAGCAGACAAGATAAAAGGCCCAACATTCGAACCACCAGCATGTTCGACTGTCGAAAAATGCAAACCGAGCTGAAGACATGACGAAGAAGAAGCTGACAAGAAAGTTTTTCACTCAAGTGGCATCTCTCTCCATGTTCAATCTTGGGTAGTAGTAACAAATGTAGCATTAGAAATCCATTGTAGTAGTTTCCTGGTTTCTTTCTTCTTAAAGGTAAATTCAGGCAAAAATCTAGGCTTGCAGGCTGAGCACAAAATATATATCTTATTTCCTTTCTACAAATCGCATTCCGTAGGGAGAAATTCAATATCTATTGATCATACAACTCACTGCTGCATATACTAATACTAAAGGCCAAGAAGGGATTATAAACAGGGTCAAGAGATGTTATCTCTAAAGCTATGATACAAAAGACCTGGGCGCAAGGGGAAGTCCAAGAGCTATTAAGATGCGGCAGCAAGAGGAGGTGGGGTATGAACTCCTTGAAAGAAGCTTGTCGCTGGCTTTTCGATTAAGCCATCTTCTTCTTCGTCTTCTTCAGCATCCCAAAGAAACCGTGCATATGATGCTAGAACATAGCTGCACCATAAGAGCAATCAATATGACATTAAACAACCATAACTCTCATGAAAAAGTGTGAAGTTCATCATCAAATAATCTAAAAGCTTACCAGTCATTAGGGGCAGCTTGAACGGCTTGATTGAAGTAACTCTCGGCTCTTGGAGTGTCCTTCTGAGTTTCCCATATCAGATCAGCGTACATAGACAAGACATTACCATCGCCTGGATTGCTCAAAATCGCCCTTCCACAATATTCTTGAGCTTTTACAAGATCCCCACGTACCTATTACCCGTAAAAATCATTGTAAATACCAAAAACCAGTAATGTTCGAAATTAGATAAGAGTTTTTCTTCAATGATATAGCAATTGGATATACCTCTTTCAAGAACCGTGCATAATTGCTCAAAAGCATTGAATTCCCAGGATTTGCCTCGATCATTTTCTGATAGTGCAGATCCGTATTGTCATTTCCATGATTCGAATCTCCAATCCCGAAACTCCCATCGTCGCCACCGTCGGATCCTCCGCCGCCACTGATCCTTCCACCACTACCACCAACTCCACCACCAACCAGAACATTAACAAACCCACCATCCCTATCCCCAGTTTCAGAAATCGATTCACGCCTCAACGACGCCGTTTTGGAGCGGCTAAACCCGATTACATCCCTCTCTTCGTCAACCTCAGAAAACCCACTCAGAGTTCTGCTAAAGGGTTTCATCTTATTCATGGACATGTCTCGAAGATCCGTCTCGGACAACGCCCGAGTAATCTTCCTGGGTGAGTCATCGATTATCGGAGATGTGCAACTGGGTGAGCAACAGAGCACAATGGAACGCGCCCTAGGGATTTGGTTCACGATCTCCGGCTCCAGGTATGAATCTCTTGAATGGTGTAACCATGAATTGAAGAGGGGAGTCGAAGCGCTTCTCAGAATCATTGTTTCGAAGGTATTCTTGAGCTTGTTATTGCATATGAAGTTGTTCTTGCCTGGTATGTATCAGTTCCTTCACAATGGCGGTAGCGCCTGGTATTTTTATAGGAGAATTAGTGGCAATTGAATATGAAATCTGAGACGTCGGGTGTGTGAGGACCAAGAAAACCGTGTACGCACAAAGTTTGGCTGTTTGGTTTTCTCTTTTAGCAACTAGTTAGTCGGTAATGTGGCTCCAAACAAAGATGTCTAAATGCTATTCAATTTGAATTTGATATACTAACAACATTGTTGAATGTATGATTCTTAAGAACTCAATGCTATCAAATTATTCATCGCATTCTTCCATATCAACTATATTCATACGATCCCAAAATTTTTTATTACAAGATAAAATCGTCTTACCATGTAACTAATCAATAGAGAAAATATGCATAAACATATAAAGGCGAAGGTTCGAGTAACCCTAAGTAGCACTTGGGCTTTGACCAAGTACAAGGGAGTCATATGAACCACGTGAATGTAAAAACAAAATCAACATACATATCCACTGTCTATCCTACCGTATATGAACTATTTCAATCACAAAGAAATGGTTTACTATTTCTTATCCCTAAAGAGCATAAATACTATTTAACTTAGTTTATAAATTTTGAAGCTCCTAAATTTAAATATCCGAAGATTTTATTTACAAATGTATACTTTGTTTGGATTAGAAATGAAATTTGATTATTAGTTGTTAAATGTTTATTTGATTCATCTTATTTTAATTTATTATTGTTAGTTCAAGAATATTTAATATATTATGAACCAAACTTGAGGAGAAGTGGGACCCAGTGTTGTTAATACGTCACGTGACTGATGACCTATGAACACCGTTGATTGGTGGCGTGCCAAATTTTTAACGATTCTCGTTAAATTATTCACGTGATCAATAAAACTACTGACAGCGAGCCCTCAGAGCTTCTCAAATTTACGTTTATACCACTCTCAGCCAGGAGTGGGTGAAGGTAGCATCCGGGGACCCACAAGGTCGAGCCCAGAGGGAAAGTCGGCGTCACTGGTGGTGCCCACGGCTTGGTTCAACGGTGAGTCTTAAAAGTCATCGAAAATAAGAACAGCGATTGGGGCACTAAGCCAATTTGGGGGTATTGTTGTAATTTCAAGTGGGGTTCAATAATGATGGCTAAAGTATGGAAAATTGATATATTATGGTCCATCTCTTTGGAATTTTAATTAAAATTTATTTTTCGTCCATATTTTTTGGAATTTACATAATAATTAAAATAAGAAAATAATGTTAATAAAAATTATAACTACTTTTTAAACAAATCACAAATCTTTGGCTTATATATTAATTTTTTTAATTGAGTAAATCTATTTGTTTATTTTATCCTTGTAATATATGGAACGGAACTTTTCCAGACAAATAATTATTAATTAATATATCATATTCGAGTCATTTGTTCTTAGTCAATTTGCTATTTCACTGATTTTCTTACAGACATTTAAGACCGTTCATTTTTTCATCACCTTTTTCATCTTTCAATAAGAAAGAAGAATCTCCCCAAATGGACCCCACCATAGCTCGTGGTTTCTTTCTTGTCGATAGATAGGTTTTGAAGTATGAAGAAATGGTTAAACAAAATATTAGAATATTAATTAAGATTACTAAAAAACTAACGTCAAATTTAAATCAAAATAATTCACATCGCATAACCTACTAATAATTAAAACTTGTACATTTAAGACTTGAAAATGAATAAAAATTTATCAACATGTCAAATACATTTTAGTTTTGATGGAGAATTGACTACAAATAAATTGCATAATTACGTCTATCCGAATCATACCAATATGGGTGATTAATTGATATAGGGTAGATTAATGAGCTCAGTAACGAGCTGTTAAATGGGCTTTCCAAGCTTGGTAATGGGCTCAGTAACGAGCTGTTAAATGGGCTTTCCAAGCTTGGTAATGAGCTCAGTAACGAGCTGTTAAATGGGCTTTCCAAGCTTGGTAATGGGCCCAGTAACGAGCTGTTAAATGGGCTTTCCAAGCTTGGTAATGGGCTGGCTTGGAAGCTCAAATAAATTCACATTTTAGCGATGGTACAAAAGGAGGGCGAAATACAAAAGTTTGGATTGTCCAGCGTGGCATCACATTTATTATAGACTTACTAATAAAAATATGACCGAACTTTGATTTTTCTCTCCAAAAAATATATATATATATATATTTTTTTTTAATTTATAAAAGTTTCAATAATACAATTTAATTATAAAAAAAATTCTAAAAATTTAAAAAGTTAGAAAAATATTTATAAAATTCTTTTTAAGACGGTTTAAAAAATTACTCAAAATAATTTTACTAATATGTTTGAACTGTTTAAAAACTTAAAAAAATACCTTTAAATTTGTTTAATTTTTTAAAAATATCATTATTGTTAATATATATATGAAATACTTAGTAACCATTTAAAAAATATTTAAAAAATATTCATTGACTTTTAAAAATAATGTTAATATTCTTAAATTTTTAGAAATGTAACTGTCTCTTTTATAAACATTAGTGGCGTTATTACAGCAAGGTATTTATTTTTTAAACATTGTATTAATAATGAGGGTATTTATTTTTTAAACATTTTATTTGGTTCTCCCGTTTAAGAAAAAAAAATCACCTCCATTTTTTCTTTTACCAGATCCATTATTTTCGTTCCAGTACTCACAGTTGCTCCTCCGGGGATGAAGTAAATTCTGGTATGCATCTCACCGGCGTTTTGTCATCAGTTCTCTGAATTATTGTTCTTCAAGATGCTCCTCACATTTTGGCTCTAAATCTAATTAAGTGAAATAGGTGGATAAGTATACAAAATTGATTGCTATTGTCTTTGCTCAAAGCTGAGGTGTACTGTTCGAATTCCATTTTAGGCTCGGCTGTTCAGCTCACGCCGATTTGTGTTTTGGAATAAAATAGTTGAGAACTTACCTTTTCTTATTTGATAATTTTTGTTGATGTTTTTTCTGTCACGTTGGATGCTATTGCTTATGGATATTTCTTTTCTTTAGTTGAAAACCATGGCGGATTGCATTTTCTTCTGGGTAATGCGATCATGATGCGACTCTCTGTGCCATGTTCATGTAAAGGGTCAGCATATGCATTTAGTATCAACTCGATGCCCAACCAATTGTATTATTCAATCCAGGCTTCTTGTTAATCAATTTTGAACCCCACTCTCCCTTAACTGAAGTACAAACTGGATATCTTACCTGTTAATTTGCGCATTAATTTCGCTTGGTAGTGTAAAGAAAAGATATATAAACGATTGTGGAGGTAAGGCACATGGATTCTTTACTTACTTGAAGATTCATTTTGCTTATCACTCTAATAAGGATTGTCTGTATCTGGAGATGCCTTTTGCCATGGTTTAAGCTCTGCCATTCTCAGAAATCTAGTCATTTACCGTCCAAGACCCGTCGAAGCTCACCGCTAGTGGATATTGTTCCTTTTTGGACTTTTCCTTTCGGGCTTTACCTCAAGGTTTTTAAAACATGTCTGTTAGGGAGAGATTTTCACACCCTTGTATAAAGAATGATTAGTTCTCCTCTTCAACCCGATGTGAGATCTTACAATCTATCCTTTTTGGGGCCAACGTCCTTGTTGGCACTTGTTCTTCTCTCCAATCGATTCGATGTAGGATCTCGCATATTATTTCCTAATTATTTCCTAATGATTGAAAAATTACTCAAAGAAATCAAGAAATGAACAAACTCAGGAATTGCGTGGAGGGGTCTGCCCTTTAAAGTCAGGAATTAAAGAAGCCTGCGACGTGCATGTTCTGGAAGGATGCTGTCATTACACACACACACACATAATGTTACTTGCCCTTTGTTTCATGATCTAAATCTTTTTGTTAATTTAATTTCTCTTTCAGATTAAGAGGGAGATATCAGTTATGAAAATTGTTAGGCATCTACATATTGCCCGTCTGCATCAGGTACGTTCATGACTTCATGACGTAATATCACATAATTCGTAGGAGTTATCTGTAGTTGGCTTCCTGCTGGCATCATGTATGATGTTCCTTTTCTCTATGGTTTTCTATCTCCCCCTAAATTCCACAGGCGCTCTGCTAGCCGGGCAAAGATATATATTATTCTTAAGTTTGTCTCTCGTTGTAAACTGTAAAATCCTACACGGATTGGAGAGGAGAACAAAATATTCTTTGTAAGAGTGTAGAAACCTCTTCCTAACAGATGCGTTTTAAAAACCTTGAAGGGAAGCCTAAAAGAGAAAGTTTAAAGATAACAATATCTGCTAGCGGTTGGACTTTGGCCGTTTTCAACGGAATACTGTTATCTCCTTCTTTACATTAGATTGGTAAATATTGAAACCGTACAACTACTATTATGTGTATTGATCTGCACAGGTTCTTCAGAAGAAGCTTCACAAAATTTAGTCTAGACGATACCTTCAACAACTGATAGGTGCACTTGCTCATTGTCACAACAAGGGTGTGCACCACTGGGACATTAAGGTGCAAACTTTTAAATAGAGGGATAAAATTCATAGTCTTGGACAAAAAGAATTCATGTGCTCTGTTCCTTATTAATCCTATATTTCCTTGAAATCTGGAAGGTTTCTGAATTTGGACTGAGTGCACTGTCTCCAGAAGTAATGTACTGTATATCGATAAAATGCTCATAAGTAGGTGGTTCCATTCATTAGATTGCGAATGATTATATCTTGTTTCTTTCTGCCAGGAATACGTTAATGTCTTTTTTATCATACAGTTTTTTAAATTATTACATAGGCTGCAGGTTCTTGGAGGTCAGGGTTATGATGGTGCAGCTGCAGACATCCTCTATGCACTAATGGCTGGACATCTTCCATTGTCATAGACGGATCTCCCCACCCTAAACAACAAGGCACGTTTCCAAATTTTCCATCACCCTCAGATTTGAATTACTAGCTCATCTTTATCCATGGGAAACCATTCTGTGTGATACAAAAATGTTCTTTAGATGACAACGTCTACAATAGATATCTAACTTCATAATGTCAACCATTGAAGCTGTAGCAGAAGCAATGGATTCGAGTGTCCACTTACGTAATTGAAGGTTTAACTATTATTCTTCCTTCATGATGGACGAATTTTAACTATGACATAGTTTTGGAATTACATAGTAATCTTAAGTTTAAATTTTTCTTACAGACGAGGTTGCAAAGAAGGATTGGACACAGGGATGCACAGTTTGCAGTTGTGCTGGAGGTAATCTCATAGTATATCACAAGGTAATTTTATACAACTAAATATTGGTATGCAGAAAGACATAGGGAGGCCTAAATCCTTTATATACATCTATTGTCACAGGCTGCAATTTCTTATTTGTGTGGCCTTACTGTATTTCTACAAGAATTTCTGTGCCAAGCTATAAAACATCATCTGAAAACCATCTGAGAGTGTGGGGAACTGAAGGCCCTGCTTGGTTACATACTTATTGCCCAAAAGCTGTTCATCATGATGAGATACTTCTATCAATGATGCAGCAGGTGCTCATGAAGCTTCCCTTTGTCCATGATCTGAACTTTGTATATGCTATTATGACTTAGAAAACAAAAGGGGCTAAGCTGCAAATGATATATATAACACCGGAAGTGTGTAGATTTGAATCTTTTAGCTCTCGTTAAGGATATATACCTTAACTAATTGAGCTATACCGACATGTTTTAATAGATTCTTTATGCTATTGTTGTTCTCACAGCAGGTCTGTTTATAAGAATAACAGAGAAATTGTGTTCTTTTGGGGATTGACAATTGATCACTAACTACATTAACAAATCATTAGATCATAATTCTTAAGCCATAAACTACATTTTATAGCACAAATTATCTTCTAGCTTCTAATAGTACGTCTGAAAAACTGGTCGTTCAACATTAAAAAAGTAATAAAGAACTCCTGTGGTTTTAAATGCAACACATATCACTGATCATAGTACACGAATGATGGAGGCATGTCAGAATCTGCGGCTTTCCTTTTCCCTTTTTTCAAGCCAAAGTACAACTAAAGTTTGAAACTTCATCATAATCTAAAGAACCCCAAAACAATAATTCGCCATTGTGAGCTAAACTAGTGAACACCGCCTCGAGGCGAAGGCATAACCCATTCACTCGATGATGACGAAAAATAAGGTAAAATGTCATGTCGTTGACGACACAGTCGTTAATATGGTCCTATCACATTGAATTTGCCAATATGATGGGAACATTTCGAATACATATTACATCATTTTGCCTTCTCTTATCTTCTGCACGAGGTCTCAAAACTTTTGTGGTTGGACTTGACGGGCTATCTCTCTGAATATATATACAAGTAACAAGTAACTGTTTAGAATCACTGCTAGCCGATATTGTCTTTTTTGGACTTTTCCTTCGCTATATTTCCTCAAAGTTTTAAAACGCGTATGTTAGGGAGAAGTTTCCACACCCTTACAAGGAATATTTCGTTCTACTCTCCAATTGATATGGGTCACAATCCACCACCTTCAAGACTCAACATTCTCGCCGGCACATTGCTTTGATACTCCCTTGAGGGCCCAACATCCACCGATATGGCTTCGAGGGTTCAACATCATCGATGTCTGGCTTTGATACCATTTATAATAGCTCAAGCCCACCGTTAATAGATATTGTTCTCTTTGGACTTTCCCTTTCGGACTTCCTTTCAAAGTTTTTAAAATGCGTATGTTAGAGGTTTCCACACCCTTGTAAATAATGTTTCGTTCACTTTTCAACCGGTATGGAATCTCAAAGATCGAACATGTACATAAGAAACATAGCTCTCTTTCTGCTGCTGCTATCATGTCTAAGTTGAATATAAAAACAATGGTTGATTCATTTCAGACCCATTTTTCATCTGCTGTGAAGAAACGAGCTTTAAATTCAAAGATTTGCTTAGCTGCAGCTCTAAAACTGGTCGGGACAAGCACAGTAGCATGACTATGACCATTCAACCACAGGATTACTAGACATTAACCCATCAAGATAATCTCAAATAATTACAAACTTATGTCTCTTCACATCCTCTCTCTTTCTTTTGAACATTCTTATGCTTACCCTTTTGAGTTTGAGGCTAATTTGATCAAAAGGCGATAACTTTACTGAATATTAATGCTTGAAAAGGGTAAAAAGAACAGTAGAGTGGTCCAATGGACAGTTTATGAGCAATCCATTCATTTGATTCAACGAAAACAACTAACTTATATGCATTAAATACTCATACATTCCACACTTAATGCCCACATGTTTTTCAAATCAAAATCTTGTAAATTTACATTCAGTTCCATTCCCTTGAACAAAGAGAGCAGAAGAAAAAGCACAAAAAAAAAAAAAAAAAAAAAAAAAAAAAAAAAAAAAAAAAAAAAAAAAAAAAAAAAAAAAAAAAAAAAAAAAAAAAAAAAAAAAAAAAAAAAAAAAAAAAAAAAAAAAAAAAAAAAAAAAAAAAAAAAAAAAACTCCCTCTCAACAATCACTATATTATGATACATAGGCATACATAAAAATTTGGGTGAAACAATGAAAAATGGAAGTGTTTTTATGTTTTTCAAGGTTGAAAGTACTTATCTTTACACTTGCATTTCCATGAGAGAAGATAATAGGCATCATCTTTGGGAACTTGAGCCGCCTCCATATTAGAAACAACACCACCGTTGTTATTATCATAACCTTTGAGGCGCTGAGAAATGACCAAAGCAGCTACACATGGCTTGCAATTTAAGCACTTGTTGAAGCACTTTGGTGGCCTTGACCCAATAGCCAATTCCTTCTGCTTTGAATCTTCATTCCCTGTGATTCCCAAAACTAAGAACACCCAACAAAATTAAGAAAATTATGAACACATATGAATATAAACATGTCTGGAAGTTGGATTAGGAATTATGTGGGGATAATTACCTGATGTGGGGAGAAAGACAGAGAGGGAGAATATGAGAGGGAGAATGAGAAAGAGGGAATTGTTTAAAGCCATATTTTGAGTGAGAGAATGAGAGAAAGATTGGAGTGTTGAAATGGGAAAAAAGGGTTCAGAGAATTGAAGTGATGGTGGTGAAGTGTTGACAAAATTGCTACAGTGAAAGGAAATGGTATAGCCTTTGTCTTGCTTCAGCACTGCATCTCTCTGTTCTTGGGGGTCCCAATTGAATAAATCAATCCCTTCTCTTTTCATTTCCTTTTGAGAGAGAAGAGAGAGAGATTCGAACCTCAGGTATGTCTCGAATATTCAAGTTATGCTTGAGTTGACTCGTGAATACTTAATAAATTGATATCAATTAATGGCTAATACATTATGAAGCCATTGCAAAAGTGGGTCGAGATTAAAAGATTCTTTTTTATAAGAAAAAAAAATATAAACTTTATGTCTAAGGACTGAAGAGTTATGGGAAATGTAGTTATGCAGAGGTACAAAGAAACAGAGGTCTATTGCCTAGAAAAAGGACTTTTGTTTTTGTTTGCTTTCTATTTAGTTCTCCATCTTCCCTTCATTTAAAGCTTTACCTATAACACTGCAATTATTTGGCCTTCTATTCCCTATTCTTTAATATATGCTGTTTAATTACCCATTTCATATTTTATTGCATGCATTCGGTTCAAGGTTCAAGTTTACCGCTAACAGATATTGTCCTTTTTAACTCTTTACGTATCATCATCAGCCTTACAGTTTTAAAACGCGTCTACTAGGGAGAGGTTTCCACACCTTTATAAGGAATGTTTCGTTCCCTCTCCAAACGATGCGGGATTTCACAATCCACCCTCCTTAAGGGTCTAACGTCCTCACTGACACACCGCCCCATATCTTGACTCTGATACCATTTGTAACAGTCCAAGCCACCGCTAGCAGATAATGTCCTCTTTGAACTTTTCCTTTACAAGCCCATGTTGTACTATCATCACAATCTAATAGTATCAAAGCCAGACACCAAACAGTGTGCCAGAGAAAACGTTGGACTCCTAAGGGGAGTGCGGATTGTGAGATCCCACATCGGTGGGAGAGAGGAACGGAGCATTTTTTACGAAAGTGTGAAAACCTCTCCCTAGTGAATGCGTTTTAAAACTTTGAAGAGAAATCCGAGAGGGAAGACCCAACGAAAATAACGTCTACGGGTAGTGGACTTGGACCAACACATTCAAGTTCAATATCATTTGTTTTTGAAAAGAATTGAAAAGGATGTGAAGGGTGAGAATATTTAAGTAATGAAAGGTGTTGAAAAGAAGAGAAGGCTGGTGTGGAGTTGATATATGCATATGCCACTGCTGAATAATCCAATCTAATGGAAGCTGCTGTCCCAAACTGCAAATTCAGATTCTCAGGCCAACCACTTTACAACCCCATGTTATGCTAACATCATTTTAGGGTACCCTACGCTTGGAGGGTCCCCTCTCTGTCCCCATTGTGCTTCTGCTTTCTCTCATCCACCACTGACCGACGGTGAGATGAGAGATCTCATAGCCATTTGTTCAATTTGCTTGCCTTTTAGCCTTTTGCCATATGTACCAACATGTACCATATGACAAGCGCTTCAGCAGCTCAATGGAGCCTCAAACTCTAAATGGATGCACGCACAAAGACAGCATTTATTACCATAATCTAATGAAGATTCAATTGAAGGAACACCTTTCTCAGGGAATTCAGCTGCTTGGTCCCTTGTTCATACAAGGATGTCGCATCTCCACAACTTCAATTGAGCTCTGCTGCTGATGGACTACCAGTAGAGGAAGCAGCACTGCATCAGTTAAACCATTGAGCCCACAAGGTCAAGATGCTGAAGCTGAGGGCACAATCTTCCAACCATGGCTAGCCTTGCAGCACCAAAACCTATGCAACTGCGTATCGACAACCACTCCGCATTTCAATATCATCAGAAACAGGACAAAGATTCTCAGACTTTGAGCACCCAAATAAGCTGTTACTAATTCATCATTCCCTAATCGATCAAAGAGCGAAGTTGAGTATAATTTGTTGAGATGGGCATTATAAATCAGAGAATAACACTTAACCCAGAAACTCAGCAGTGAAATTAAGGAGAGTAGGCATGAGGAAAACAGAGGCATCAAGAGACCACTTGTTGAAATGATTCGTAGTTCATTTTGGGTTGACCCTTTCCTACATTTTTTGGACAATTATATAAAAGACCCAACAAATGATACAACACATTTTGGTCACAATCCTCTTAATTTCGAGGTAGTTGCTACCTCACTGCCTCATCCTTTAATTTAATACGAAATACTTGAGTAATTAATAACCGATGTGAATAGCATATATTCAATAATGTAAGCTATCTAGATGTTTTGTGTATCAAAAACTAAAAAATGAATCTTTTTAGTGAGTGATTTGGGTCGAGTTGATACAGAAGAACTTGATATAGATCACATGCTTTTCTATTTCTTTTCCTCCGCTCCCTCCATGTTCCCCACTTAAATGGAGATTCTTCGTCTTGTTAGGGGCATGGGAGAAAAGAAGATGGCTACTTAAATCCCGTTATAATATAAGAATCCATCTCTATCTCATACCAACCAATAACATACCATACAGAAACATAGAATAGTACCCACAAAAAATCCCATCAAAGTCACCAAACTATACATGTAAATTCACATTATTACAAAGTTTACTTTGAGCAGCAGTGATGGAGATTTTCGAGTTTTTATGCATAATATGAACAGTGAAGAAAAAGGAAGAAGAATACACAGAAAATGGATTTTTCTGGTGTTCATAAATTTGTACAGCTGAAAAATGCAGGATGAATGGAGGATTGATAAAGGTAAGAAGAAGAAGAAAAACAGCCTTTATTCTCTTTTTGGAAATCTGTACTAAGAAGCTTCCTCCCAAGGATTCAAGGAATATATCCAAAATAAACGAAGCATTCTCAATCATATAGGCCCTCCTGTTCCCATACTTCCACAAGAAACTTCACCATTTCCTGTTAAAATGAAGTTCTTAAAGTTCTTAGTCTTACAATGAAACCAATGGAGAAAGAAATGACAATACTTGCAACACCAAACTTACAGCCAGAGGAATTGGATGGGGAAAACATTGTCTTGTACTCAGTAAACTGTCATATGTTGCACGCCAACTGCAAGCAAATGCATATATACACGCATCGAATGAAGATTTAATAGGATCTCCACCAAAAATTTTAGTTCTAGATTTTTGTATCACTACAGTAACGGTCTAAGCCTATTGCTAGTAGATATTGTCTGCATTGGCCCGGTACGTATCGCTGTCAACCTCACGGTTTTAAAACGCGTCTATTTGGGAGAGGTTTCCACACCCTTGTAAGGAATGTTTCGTTCCCCTTTCCAACTGATGTGGGATCTCACAATCCACCTTCCTTGGGAGCCCAGCGTCCTTGCTAGCACACCGTCCGGTGTCTGGCTCTGATATCATTTGTAACAACCCAAGGCCACCGCTAGTAGATATTATCCACTTTGGCCCGTTATGTATTGTTGTCAACCTCACAGTTTTAAAATGCGTATATTTGGGAGGAGTTTCCACTCCCTTATAAGGAATGCTTCGTTCCACTCTCTAACCGATGTGGGATCTCACAAGATAGCACTTAACGAGAGCTTACAAACGGTGGCAGCAATTTTGGAATGCAGAGACATTTGGTGAACTGACCTGATTTTTGCCTTCCGTTTTAGTTGAGTTTGATCTGTTGTCTTGCTGCTACTACTATTACCAATCCACTGCAGCCTGTTCTGATTCCAGAGAAGAAGACCTGAAAGCAAAGAAAATGAGCAAATGGTTTGTTGCTATGTTGAGCAGGTTTGAATGAGCAATTGCGATCTAACCGCCGTGGTTTACGAATTCAGAAGGGAAACTTGCCATGGTTTACAAATTCAGAAGGGTTGCTCACACTGGCACCAACATTGCTATGAGTGAGCGTGAGGTTTGATGTACTGATAGAGGAGATGCTTGGTTGAGATTGAATGGTGCTATTATCCAAATCACATGTGCTTGTGCTCCAAAAACCGTCAGATATGCTACGTTTCTTAACGACTCGTCCTTGAATTCTTAATCCCTTAGATGGCTCATCCACAGCAATAATAGGTGTTGGTTTAGTGCAGCATCCAAAACAACCCCTGCACTGTTATAAACCTAATAAAGCACTATATATGCTATAAAATTGCAGCAAAAACATTACCAAGAATGTGGAATGGTTTCGAACTTTGAATCTTAATAAACTTAGTTTCGTTCATAGTTACTTCAGGAATTCACATTAATACCAGCAATCCAAAAGAACATGAAATCCCACAACTTCCCCCATGCCCCTTGCTTCGTTTGGATTAAACATTACAGTTGAAATAGTGAAATTCTTGGCAAAAGAAGGAAAAAGGAGATGGCCCACTATTCAGGAAGCCAGAAAACAGAAGCAATTCCATGGATTACACAAAAGGGTCATCACAAAACTCCATTAGAAGCAAATATAACAACTCCTTTACAAGACCGCAATGAACGATAGATGAGGAAAATCGAGAACTTACCCCATGCAAGCGAACAAGCGGCTGATCCAGGCGGCGAAGGAACTATTAAGCATAACCATGTTGATATTAAGCCAAAAGCGCAGAGAAGGGCATCGATTCAGGGAAAACGAGAGTGAAGCTAAGAACCTGTAACTGGCGAGAGATGGAGTAGAGTTGGGGCAAGAAAGCAGGAAGTTGGATGAGGGGAAAAGGGGAAAGTCGAGTGGGGAGTGGAAACTAAATACCAAAATAGAAAATTGGTGGGTTGTTTCCGAGAAATTCAGAGAAGAGATGGGCATCGAAATGGAGAAATGGATTGTTCAATTGGTGGTTTATACGCACCTTTTGTGTGGCTCTGGCCCCCACTATCCATCCACTGCTTGCTATTATTAACACCAAAAAAAAACAGTCATTTCTTTTCTTCTACTGCTTCCAACTTCACTCATATCCCATTTTTAACACATTGCGAACTCAAATTCACCATTTAAAACAAGTTCCTGGATCGTAATGGAATTCGATTTTTATTTTTCAGTCTTCAAGTTACATTAGAAATCTTATTTTCTTTGATTTGCTAAGCGTTTACTGTGCCTTCGACGTTTACAACTTCAAACTTTGCAGGTCAAAAATTGTTTAAACGTTATTTTGATATCCAAAGTAAGTAACACCATCTATTCCTCCCATTCTAAGTATCAAAACCAATTCAAATAGAACAAATCTGAGAGCAGAAGTGCTTCATCTTTTATCACGAAAGAAGTTCAAAGAGTAACTATTAATAATCAATGTAGCAGCCGCGCATTGCCATGGCACTCAAAATCAGTCCTTGTGTCGACTAAGCTCTAATTTTGTTTCTTCCATAGAAT